ACAAATCCCAGCAATACATTATACAGCGGCGCAATGCACACAGAATACCACCAGCTATAGAGGAATATAGCAAATCCCAGCAATAATACAGCGCAATGCAGAATACCGCCAGCTATAATGTATTATTGCTGGGATTTGCTGTATTCCTCTATAGCTGGTGGTATTCTGAATTGCGCTGTATAATGTACTATTGCTGGGATTTGCTGTATTCCTCTATAGCTGGTGGTATTCTGCATTGCGCTGTATAATGTACTATTGCTGGGATTTGAAGTCCTCTATAGTCGGTGCCATTCTGCATTCATTGCTGTATAATTTTACACTTTCCAATTCACTATATTGCACACCACACTTTTTTTTTTTTTTTTACTTCCACTGCTCCAAGCTTGCTCCCGTGATGGACTACAATCTCAATACAAACTAGTAGTCCATCACTGGAGCCATTTTTTTTATCCGATTAATCGGACTTAATAATCGGCTAACTAATTGATTTAGAAAATAATCATTAGCTGCAGCCCTAAATTCGACCCCATCAATTATTCGAAGACTGGACGACTGGATCCATAAAGGTCAAGTTTACCTTACTGACCATGTTTCATGTTACACACATATTTAGAGTGTAACATGAATCCTATTCAGACCTCCATCACTATCTTACCAGAATCACAGGGTTCTTCTTCCCGCAGGCATTTGTTACATTTTTAAATTTGTCAGGGCTGTGCATGGCTCTGCCCCCACATAGCCACATGATCCATTCTCAGATCCTTTGAGATTGAGCAGGGCTCTACCCTTTCTTTCCCCTTACTGGATAATGAGACAGCCCTTCACATGAAAGGACCAATAGGCATACTCAGGAAGGGGTGGTGTAGGCTCAACTTTTGCAGGAAAGCTAAACACAAATAACCAATTCTGCTTCTAATTTGAAAGCTGAACTCTGCAATAAGCAAATGTTCTCTAAATACAAAAGGCATGTGTATTGTTACTTGAATCGTGGAATACTTTGTGTATTTCTTCCATATATGTGCAGTAATCCAGAGTGGAACGTTTCATCTGTGCAGCAGCTTCCGGTACTAAAGACCTGTCACTGCTGCTCTCTCCCCTTGTGCAGTGACTGGTCTTGCCTCCGCCCCCTCCTGTAGGTTTCTGCAGACAGCCTGCAGTGGCTGGAGCCTACTGGGTCCCTCCCACAGCTCTGCACAGGTTATGTACAACACAGTTATGTCACTGCTACTTTTTTATGGTAATATCTGTGTTTACAAAAGTATTCGCTGCACACAACGTTTATTAATATTAGGGATGCACCAATACCGATACTGGTATCTGTATCGGTGAAAATACTGAGCATTTGGGTGAGTACCTGTAATGTTACGATACTCACCCTGATACCGAAACTGTCGGTCAGAGGGAGCTGACCAATCAGAAAGCCAGGTGGCAGGTCATGATCTGCCACCTGGCTTCCTGATTGGCTAGGAAACCGGCTTTACTCTGTCTAGCGCCACTGTGAGGCAGCCTGGTTTCCCGAGTGGCCGGGAAGCTGGGTCCACTATACTTCGGGATGTCAATATCGGTACTCGGTATCAGTAAGTACTGATTAAAAAAATATCGGTACTCGATAGCAAAATACCACTATCGGTGCATCCCTTATTTATATCCTTTGTGGCTATTGAGGAATATATTTTGCTGAAAGTTTTTGTGCCCAGAGTTGAGTTATCTTTGTAAGCAAGCTTTGCTTATGCATTTTTTCTTTATAATCTTAGTCTACATTACCCAGACCTATGACAGGTTGCCTTTCAACAGCAGATGAATGCCGGCAGCAAGTCAGAACTAAATGTGGCACCCCTGAATGTAAAACCGCAGACCGGATCCACCTCCACAGTCAGATATATACATGCACTGACACCTTCTATAGCAGAAAAAAAAAATCTGCCTCCTGACAGTGACCTATGCAAAGAAATCTATGCCACATCTCTGATCAGACTACAGCCATCATGCCACCCAAATACAGAGCAAAGCTATACGTTTCTTTACAAGTGATAACAGCACTCCTGTGTTACAATCCACAATTACATCTATACGGGCCACCCCCCAGTCTGACAATCAAAGCCAATATGTACAGTCACGGCTATATTATGCAGCCTCAGGATCAGGGATCTCCATGATTACAAAGACAGTCATCAACAGCCAATCACATTCCTCCCACGTTAACAAAAACTTGTAGCCCCCTCCCCGCCATAGGCACAGAGATGTGCAGCACATACGGACTCTGATCTACGGAAGCCGGTACACTCACATCGCTGATGTCGGACTCTAGAAGCAGAAGTTGTGATCTCCAGCAATCCGTAACAGTGTTTACCGGAAGCCGCAGGATCCACCAGCCTCACCAACCACTTCCCTGCTGCTGCGTGTGGTCACGCCCATTCTCCCACTGCCAGCCAATGGTGGCCCCGACGAGGAACCACAAATAGCAGGCCACTTGTTATAGGCGTCCCTGGCCTTCCTGAGGGAGAGGCGCTGTGATTGGCTGTTCCCGGCTCCCATCCATTGGTGGACCAGTCAGGAGAGGAAGGATGGAGGGGAGTGCTGGGCGGGCAGCGCACTTTTTAACACACTTCCACTCCAGTTGTAGTCATGAAGTACATGGTGTAAAGTGCTGTACTGGTGAACCTCGCTTCTCTTATTATAAATAATATATAATAATAATTATTGCTGTGTGTGTACCCGCACTTCCTTACCTGCATGATGCAGCCGAGGTTTGTAGGAGTGCTGTGCTTTCCTACGATTTAAAAACTCAAGCCAAAATTTTCTTTTTTTTTATAGTTTTGGAAAAAGTAAGGGGTCAACAGTGTTATAAACACCTGTCAGCTTTATTTTTCTGCCATCTGTGTCTTACTGGGTAGATTTCTCTTCACTTCCTGCCTGAAAACCACCACAGGAAATGACAGAAAATCCCTCCAAAGTGAGGAAAAGCATTGGTGGTCACCAGCAGGGCCGGCCTTAGGGGTGTGCGAGCTGTGCGGCTGCACAGGGCGCCATGTCAACAAGGTCCTCCGTGTGAGAGGGACAAACACTGGAGCGATCGTCTGATCACTCCAGTGTTTGTAAATAACTGGGAACACATAGTACTATGATTTAGGCTGGTTCATACCTAGGCGTATCGAATGCGCAATCTACCGCGATTCACGGTGACAAACGCTCATTTCCGAGGGCTAACTGGCTGTATCCCAATGGATATGCGCGGCAAATACGCCCCAAAGAAGCTCCTGTACTTCTTTGGGCGTAGGGCGTTTTGTAGCGCGTTCATACGGCCTGTAATACGCCCAGGTGTGAACCATACCCATAGGAAATAATGGGATTTCGGTGTTTGGGCGTTTTGCAGAGCGTAGGAACGCGCTACAAAACGCCCAGGTGTGAACCGGGCCTTACATCACATCCTGTTCATTCAAGATTTCCTCAATGGGGAGAAGCACTGAGTACTGAGTGCTTCCCATTCATTGAGTGCTGAGGCTGCTGAAAAAGAAAATCGAGGATTTGGTGTCTTCAATTTCTTTTCTATTTTAAAAGGGAAATGTCAGGGGTCTGTTTGGACCCCTAATATTTCCCCGTAGCCCCCCAACAGTACAAAATAAATAAATAATAAAAAATGAAAACTGCCCCCCTCCCCTCGCCCTCCTTCCTCCCACACACACATATTATTAGACATGTGCGAAGACTAAAAATAAATTTCAGATGAAATGAACGAAAACTAAAAAGGTTTTCATTTGTTTCATCAAACAAAACACTTTTTTATGCTATTTTGGATTCCGCCATTGGCGTGGTCTAGAGGCAGGGCGCATGATGTCATATAACACCGCACGTGTTGGGCGCCGCCATCTTGGTGTATACCAAGATGGTAGGGCCAATATCGGCGTGTAACATCACCTGACGCCACGCATGCATGGCGTCATGTAACGTCATGCTCCCCGCCTCCAAGATGGTGGCACGCAACATGGCCGTCGCACATTCTCAAATTACTATGCGCCTGAATATATTTTTTGTCTATTCGGACATATAGTAATTCATTAATTTTACATGTAGTCCGGGTTTTGTGTTCTGTTTTCTATTTTTACTTTTCTAGATGCACTTACTTGAAATAAGGGTCGGCATGACATCCTGACACTTTATTTGTATAGACTCTATTTTAGTTTGACATTTATTGTTTGCCTTCTGTTGTTTTATTTGATAAGAATACTTATATTGTGCCGACAAGTTTAATACCTTTGAATAAAAGTTTTATTTTTATCATACTTTTTAATATGTGTCTTTGTGGTTTAACAAAATAGGAGTCTTTAAATGGTGCGGATATTGGGGGAAATGGGTGTGGTTACTGGGGGTGTGGTCACTAAAGGGTGTGGTCACTGAGGGGTGTGGTCACTGACGGGCGGTGTAAAGCTTTCTCGCACAGGGCGCCTAAAGGCCTAAGGCCGGCCCTAGTCACCAGGGCATGGTCCCCATTGGAAACTTTTCTCTCTATTCCTGTTCTGGTGACACCAACTATTTTCTTTTACTTTCAATGATAACGGTCACCATGACAAATAGGAAAAAAAAGTTTTGGCTTCAGTTACCTTTTAACCTCCTATGACCCGGCTACTGTACATAAATAGACAAGATATTTCCCTTAAGCAGCAAGGAAATCCCAATAGGAACTGTCTAATAAGTAATTAATAACAAGTAGATAAATCACAATCGATTTTAATGAAGTAGAAAAATAAAATAAAAATATAAACCACACAGTACAAACATTTAAAATCTTAAAATTCAAAAGCTTCCCTACAACAGCTCTGTAAGTAGATGTATATTGTAACAATAGTATAATTACCCTTCACGGGTGGCGAGCAGTCACTGGTAAGTGGATCAGACTCTGGTAGGTGAGTCAGATACAATTGTATCCTTGTATATAGAAGTTACTCACTCCATGTGATGTTTCAGTGTAGCAGTCCGCACAGATTCCACTGCCCGATTGGTGGTTTCACCTCTGTCTCCCAGGGTCAAGTGGGGTAAAAGGTATCCGTGTGGTGATTTATAATCACAGTAGTCGTTTCAAACTGTTGGTCCGATCAAGGTTTCTCCCACAGAGTTCCTGGAAGCTCGCATGCAATAAGCCGGCTACCCCCTTCGAATGTAGTATCAGAGAATAAGTTTGAAGGCTAATTGATTAGCCTGTATTTCTGGGAGGAGTCCGTTCCCTCCTCTCCCACATAAAACGGCAGGTAGACTCACCTGGGCACGGCTTTCGTCAGCATGACCCGCCCACCCGGTCCCTTCATTCAAAGATTTCACAGAGTATGCCCCCTCATTGGCATACTGTCCCTCCGGATCAAGGCACACCTCAGGTCAGTATTGGGTTTACTTGCCCTTATGGCAAAAGGATTCCGAACACAACTCCTGTTAGTGCAGAAAGGTGAAGATATCTCCGGGGTATAAATCAGTTTCCATCCAGACCTCGGGTCCAATTACCGTTGTTATATGCGAGCAAACCAGGCTCAATCCACTCGACAATGATCCGTCAAGTCAGCCGTATATTTAGAGTTCAGCAGGTAAATCAGTGCTGTGAGGGAAGCTGGGAGCACGCTATCCATTAAGACGCGTTTCCCCCCAGCAAGTGGGGCTTCTTCAGAGTGGCATGAACTCATCCATTGAGCAAAGGTGGTTTATATAGTACATCACTTAATTGAATAAACGTTTTATTGAAAAAGTCAAACTATCAGAATTTGAGAGCCGCTGCTAGCGCTGGCCCTTCAAGCACATTCATCAGGACACCTATTTGTCCAAGCCAGTGCTCCTTAAACTTGCCGTCTTCGTTAAGTTTATACATTTGCAATACAGGAATAATACAAATTATATATAACGAGGTCCAGTATGTGTTTTATATAGAAATATAATGCGTGCTTAACTGAACATCCTTTTCACCACAAATCCTGCAGGAGTTGGCCTAAATTGGCATTATTGTAACAAAGACTCAATTTCAAGGACAGAAATCTCCAAAAGCACTATGTTTGGGTGGTAACCGTTTCATAAAAAGCAGCAGAAATGAACCATCTCGTTAATCCCAGGGGCATCATGGGATTCAGTCTGGTGAATCCATCTACACTCCTTCTGTAGTAGGTGTTTGTCCCAATCCCCACCTCGTATTTGTTTGTGGACCCTATCTAGGACAAAAAAGCGGTCTGTCGATTTTACCGTTGTGCACATTAACAAAATGCCTTACTACTGGCGATCTCAGGTCCCGGGCAGCTATGTCTGCCAAGTGATCTGAGATTTTGTTTTTGAGCATTCTTTTGGTCTTACCCACGTAAAACATATCGCATTTACAGAGCATTAGTTAGATCACCCCTTTTGTCTCGCAGTTGGCAAAGTGACGGGATTTAATCTTTTTTCCTCTAGGGGTAGTTATATCAGCTCCTGTTTGAATATATCTGCAAAATTTGCACTTTTGGCACTGAAACGTCCCCTGCTATTTGCAACATTTTCCTCTATTATTATCATATTCGCTACTGGTCAATTTATCTTTTAGGGAAGGGCAGCAACAGTATGTTATGGTAGGTTTATTGCGATGAAATTTAGATATCCTGAAGTCTTTCGTTAGACAGTGCCAGTGTCTACTAAGAATCCTGGATACTTCATTATATTGATTATTATAGGTCAAAATTAGTCTAACTAGTGGGTCCTCGTTTTGACCATTTTTTGACTTGACGGATCATTGTCGAGTGGATTGAGCCTGGTTTGCTCGCATATAACAACAGTAATTGGACCAGAGGTCTGGATGGAAACTGATTTATACCCCGGAGATATCTTCATCTTTCTGCACAGTGCGGCCGCACTAACAGGAGTTATTCTCTGATACTACATGCGAAGGGGGTAGCCGGCTTATTGCATGCGAGCTTCCAAGCTGTCCTATCAAAAAAAAACAAAAAACAGTGAGGACATTCATCTTGATGCTTCACCAGTTACGAGCAAGTGAGGGACAGAGATGCTCCTCCCTGTCTCCTCCCCACACAGCTTTGTTACCGAGTTGGGGGCGGGCTTCGGCTGGATGGGGGATGTCTCACCCAGCACAGAAGGCACGGCACGTTACTGTACTGTATCTTATCTACTCCAACCCACCCTGCCATGTGCACTGGAGGTCAGTACATCCAATGTGAGCAAGCCATAACAGAGCGCAGGTAAGCAGTCCGGGCAGCTGCTGACCAAGGGCTGAATATGGCCCGCAGGCCATAAAATGCCCAGGTCTGGTCAAGAATGACCTTTTGTTTTCAGGGCCGGGTTTCCCACAAGGCCAACCAAGGCCCGGCCTTAGGGCAGCAGGGAGTAGAGGGGCAGCAGGGGTGTGGAATTCCTATCTCCTGATGCCTGAGACATGCAGTGCCGGGCGGGTAGTTGTTTTCTAC